TATATATAATTATATATATAAATAATTTTATGTTGTATGATATGGTCTATTCAGAGTCAATTTGCATTTCTTTTCTTTGTTTACGTCACGGACAGATCCTCTGCTTACATATAAATACCACCTGTCTGTCGAGCTAAACGTCTCTGACGTCACGTTGATCCAAGAACTGAGAACCCTTTTAAGCAACATGAGTAATCCGATCAGTATCAATGGCGTCATCCAAATCTCTGACGTCAACATCACCACGGGTAAGAACAGCAGCAGGATTTACAAACTGTAAATAATGGACGTCTTTTAACATTGTTCTTTTTTTTTTTTTCCCCAAATGTGTGATAGTAAATGATGGAGGTTTTTTTCTTTCTTTATTTAAGTGTGTTATGACAATGGCACAAGTTACCAGTGCAGATGTGAACAAAAGTTCCTTTGGCCCTGTGACAAGTGCGCCACCTATGGGAAATGCAACTCGTGGTTCGATACTGGCTGTGGATGCATCAATGCCATTCCTCCAGACGGACAGTATTGTCAGCCTGTTGACCCGTACAGTAAGCATTGGTCACTGCTTTGTTAGTCATTAAATATTATGGCATCCTTTATTGGTTAATTATAAAGTCAGCTTTTGATTTTAAATATTACAAAGGATTTTTTGTGTGTGTCTTTGTATGGAAAAATCCTACATAAAAAAACAAAACAAACTGCACCACATTATTTAACCTCGTGCACCCTCTAGTGGCAGCTGGCACGCACAACACTTTGGGAATCCCTGTATACAGTATTATTGGATACCGTTGAGGTCACTCAACTGGCTGTCCATATCTTTTACAAGATGAAGATTTTAAAAATGTATCATAGCACTTTCACATTTCTGTATAACTGGATTGACTTTTGTCTCTCACAGATTTAACATCTTGTCCTATCACAACCACACCACAACCACAAACATCGCCTACAGGTAAGACAGAGGAGACGGAACTCACCGACATATGACCACATCGGCGCAATCAGACGTGATGATCTTTTTTTCCCCGTGCAGCTGTACCAATGGTCTACGAGTACGTTGTGTCCATCGAGCTGAACACAACAGACGTCTCTGTGATAGAGCAACTGAGGAACATGGTCCTACCAGTCAGCATGGACTATGACATACAAGTCTCTGACATTAACATCACCACAGGTGACGTTTACATTAACACCAATGTGACATGTCTGTTCAGAATATTTTAGAAAAACAATGATCTATTACATAAAAGTCCCTCATAATACGTCTACCACGAAAGCTAGTACAAACCTTTTTTCTACCTCCTAAATCAGTGTTTCCCAAACTTTTTAAAATATTATATATTTTAAAAGTCACAAAACTTCGCGACCCAAGTCAATAGACATTATTCGTAAACGCCTGGGAAACATGATGCGAGACAACCGAAAAAAAAAATCTTGTGACCCACCTGAGGGCCACGACCCAGTCTTTGGGAAACAATGATCTAACAACGACCAACTGACATATTTTATAATTTAAATTTTAAAAAAATTATTATAAAACTACTAAATCAAATATAAATTATTATTGACATCTAGGCCATGGATTGATGGGCCAGATTGGCCCTCGGGCCAGAAGTTGGTTTCCCTTCTGTTCAATTTTAGGAATAGAAATTAAGCCAATATTAAACAAGATGAAATAATTGTGAAAATGTAAATAATAATTTAATCGTTGCTCTTATTTCAAAAAATGTTTTAAGGGTTTAAAACCCTTGACACAGATCTAACAGTACAATGTGCAAAGCTTTCAAAGATGCTTCTGAGACGTGCCAACCGTTAAAATCCCGCTTTTTATTTTTCAATCTGTCACATCTGTCCTTTTTGACCTTGAAGATTGACACGCGTCCAAACGGCGCCGTTTCACATTATCAGCATTCACAAAAAAAAGAAGTTAAGGAATATTAGGTCAGTTTGTGACACGCTTGTCTCGTCTGCAGTTTGTTCTCCGAGCAGCGGCAGTTACCAGTGCAGATGTGAGGAAGACTACAGTTGGCCATGTGACCGCTGTTCGCTCTACGGATCCTGTGACAACGCCACATCCGATTCCTGTGCATGTATCAACGCCATCCCTCGGAACGGAGAGCATTGCCAGCCTCGGTCAGGTAATTGTAGCTCATCTTTTATGAATATATAAAAATATTAAATGCCATAGTTGAATTTGATGAATATATATTTTTTTCCAAAACAGATCTGGTGGTTTGTCCAACTCCAAGTCCTTCAACCGGTAGGCAACATCAACTTTATTTAGACTTTCTACAGGACTTTCTCATACCACTCACACTCTGCACTCAACGGATCTTATTACAGTCGCAATAAGATCTGTTTGCTTCTAAAAAAAAGTAATCAATATCAATATATTGTTCCAATATACCTGGTTATCTATCTATCTATCTATCCATCCATCCATCCATACATCCATCTATCCTTACGCCACTACAGGTCTCAGCACTACAGTAGCTACAACTACTGAACCAACTATAACCAGTATGTGCTTTATTTGTTAAACTGTTACCAAAAGTCTCTAGAAATGTACATAACAACTGGTATTACAGTCAATTTAAGACAATGTTTGCTTCAACAGATACAACAACCATAACATCTACAATGTTAACACCGCAAACTGTAACAAGTAAGTAAGACAAACAAACAAACAACATTTCCTTTCACAGACACAACAATCTTAACATCCTCATCTTCAACACCGCAAACTGTGACAAGTAAGTATTGTTGAATAAAAAAACAGGCATAAAAAACACTAGTCTTCTATCTATAAACAAAGGCAACAAAGTGACCTAACATTAACATCTGCACCCCCACATCTAAAAACTAAGGATAAAAACATGGATAAAGGCCACAACGTCAAGCAGTATTCATTTCACTTCATTATTGCATCATCTGTCTTTTCACAGACACAACAAATGCCACTACAGGTCACAGCACTACAGTAACTGCAACTACACAACCAACTATAAACAGTATGTGCTTTATTTGTTAAACTGTTACTGAAAGTTTCTAGAAAT